CGATATTTGAACAGGATGGTGCTATCATGGTTTTCTGGCATGCCCTGGGAGCTGCAGAGAGTGTCAGTGGTGAGTGAAGATAATGCATGTACATATTTGTAGGTGCCTGTATCATATTTATACTGCATTGTATTGTTGTTGAAAACTATTTAAGAAGTACCTGGTATAGAGAAATAGATTAAATTTGTGACCTAATGTGTATGTCATCATTTTGTGTAGACACATTTTAACATGTCTCCTCCCCTCCCCTCCCAGGATACAGCACTTTTGCAAGAGGCGTGGCACCAGTAGCAGGAAACCTCATCTGTGTTGGTCAGTAAAGGGGTAGCTAGTAACCCATGAGTTATGATACAGTTGTACCTTGTTATCATATAACTATAAGAGAACAATAACTCTCTGCAGGTACACAGAATTTGACAGAGTAGCATATTTGTCAGTTGATGAATATGAAATATGAAACAATTTGGAAACATTACAATTACAATTCACACTAACATTTCAATCTTTCAGTTGTGATGAAGATGATTTTATGTTTTCCTCCAACATATTAGGCACTTCCTCTGGCAATGTGCTGTGTTTCAACATTCCTCCCAAGGGTCCCAACGTGACGTTAACAGAGACCATGAAGGGCCACTCCTCTGCTATCACTGACATCACCAGTACAGGGCACACAGGTGATACTGTGGTCACGGCTGACGACAGCGGGAATATCATTGTGTGGAAGGGACCAAAGTTTGTGGAAGTGACACGGATCTCTGGGAGCCGGTATGTTTTTCTTAGTCCCCAAGACAGTATCCAATAGGCAAGACAGTGTCCAACACTGCCGCCAAAGATTGGGTGAGCTGTCAGAAAACTGTATATACATGTAGAAGGTCACAACCAGGTCTGCTTGGAGAATTTGTTCTTGTGGCACTCCTAATGAAAAGTTCTATACCGAGACTAAGGTCCAAAAAGTTGTATCCTGTAGTTGAGAGGCACATGCCATTTTTAGGCCACATCCTAACTTTCTTGTTGTTCAAAACATGTTTTCCACCATGTGTTATCACCATATCTGTGCTTAGTCAGATAATTTTCATCTTTGTGTTGCCCATGAAATAACTCGCCGCTAAGTCTTCCCCTATGGTTCTCCACATAGGAACCCAGCCTGTTGCGTATGTCTGTGGAAGGACACAGTCATCGCAGCGTACAGTACTGGTCACATCCGCCTCTTCGGAGTGGAGACCGGTAACATCCACGCCGAGGTGTGCGCTCATGCTCGCTGGATCAGCTCTCTGGACATTTTACCTGAGTCTGGACAGGTAAGTGTTGTGGACTTGACCAGATATTACTGGGTAGCCTGACAACATCAAGTTTCTGTCAACCCTTCTGTCACTGGTCAGGTCCCTAGCACCTTGATGACCAACACTTCCAAGTCAGTAAAATTAGAAACATCTTAATCCTGTTGATGTATGCACATGTGCTAACATGGATCAAATATTGTCTTACAGAGAACTGTCTGTTACCATGTTGATAGTGTGTATATTGGAATACTAAAATTACTTTTGTTCTTTTCCCAGCTTTTATCAGCAAGTGAAGACTCATATGCTCGTATTTGGCAGCTCAAAAAGGGTAACACAACAGAGGTGGGCTTCCAAATTATTACACTTTAGCCATGCTTTTCTAGCCATTTTTTCACATCCCAACAGGATTTGGGTTTGAATGTGTAGTGGCAAGATCAAAATGGCAAGTTTTTTAATGTACTGTAGATCATGGATTTTGCTGTGATCTCTCCACCATGAATTCATGTCACTGCAAATATCCTAGGCTTCTTGTATGACATCTATACTACAAAATTGTTACAACTACAAATTTAGAACACCATTAAATCCTTTAAGTTATTTTCTCTCCTACTGTGAAATAAATCCACCTCAAAAAGTTTCACGATTTATAGAATGTGAACAATCTGACTGTTGTTTCCAATTCGTTGTCCTTTAGGTGGAACATGTCCATTCAGAATGTGTGACAGACATCCAGCTGTGTGGAGCCAAGTTCACCAGTCCGGAAGGGAAGGCCTTCGCCGTGACGGGATACGACACAAACGAGATCATCTACTATGTGCAGAACTAAACTTCATGTGCAAGAATACTCTCAGTATCACAAACCAAGTGACAGGGTTTTAACTCCAGTATGTGCATTGATGTTGGATGTAGTCCCTTTTGGTTTTTAACCAGGACAGTTATGATAATTTTTCACTTCATCATTGAATGCGGGAAAGAGCGATTAAGGGTCTAGAGATTCACCTTGTGCCAGAAAAGAGTGAAATTACTCTTACATTTTGATATCTGCAGAATGTGGTTAAAAGATGCATGGCCAAATTCTGTATGCAGCAACAGTAGGTTGTTTTAGACCTAAGGCCTAGAGCATACATGTAAGGCCTTGTGTTTGGATATTATGTATGAAGCAACCTTTGAAGTGTTGTTAAAGACATATGGTGTCCTTGCCAGAATCATACAGTGGCCTGAAACAATGGAAGGGAATACTTGAGGGTAAAAAGATAACTTCTCAAAAGAAATCGTCTCAATTTTATTGATGTACTAGCCAGCCTTGTTAGTATGAGTGTCTGAGTAATATTTATCAATCTTTTTTGGTTGTTTAGTTGTTGCAAGGAGCTTTCATCACACTTGTAGAACGTCCTTGGTTGTTGCACCCATTTTGTCCACTATGAATGTTTATAGGATATATATTTTTGTTGTGGAGTTGATTGATCACGGTGGAAGTCTTGGTGAATTAGAAGATCACGTGTAGATATGTGTATGGGACCAATACCAGAAGATACTTTAGAACTGAGAGCCAAGGTGCTATGTGTTTTGTGTATAGTACCTTTAGCCAATTGTGTTATGTTGTAGTACAGTAGCCTGGGTACCATCCGGATTTTCGCTCCGCAGTGAAAAAATCATTTTTTTCGAGCATTGCAGAGCAAAAATCTGGATGATACCCAGGGTAGTAGTACAGTGTAAATGTAAATGTCTGTTTTTGTAGTTTTTCTGTTGGTTTTTCCTTGTTGTCAGAGGTAAATATTGAGTCATAGTGTCAAACTATATGCTACACAAACTGTGATGATGAAGTATATCTTACTATTATGACAAATGTCTACTCTCAAATAAAATTATCAAAAAATAACACCTGACTGAGTGTACATGTTCTAGTTAATTTGCCTACCTGTCATGTACTGGACTGGTATACTATATCATAAGACATCCAACTGACTGAATCTGACAAGCAGCTTATAGACTGCAACCACGACACTACAAGTAAGTCTGCTCAGTAGATGGCTTAATAGAATAGGCAGTCCCATACATTGTATTTTGTAAAATTAACATTCTCTGAAATAAATCATATGTACCATAAATGGATATGTGGAATGAATCAAAATGGGTAACAAAATTTTTCCACATTCACAAAATTTCATTTTCGCGCAATCATATTTCAGAGCTCACATTACTGTTATACATTGATTCAAATAACTTTGATTCAAGTTGTACAAGTTAAAAAGTCAACATTTATTTCATATCAGTTGAATCTCCTCACACAAGATGAAAAATATAGTCCATAATATTTGACTCATTAAATATACATTACTGCAACTTGTATGGAAAAAAGCGTCATTTTTGTATGTCATTTGAATAAATGTACAGTCATGTACAATGGATACAAAATATGGGTGACTGTAATATCTACAATCTGAATTACGTTGCCACATCATTTTAAAGGCACAGGATTTATCTTAAGTTTTTTTTATATACAGATGAAAGTGTCTTCTTTCACTTTCTAATGATATGGATCAGTAACCATCGTCTGTCTTCATCATCATCTTCACCATCATTTTCATCCTTTTGCTCCATCACCTGTCAGGATCAGTTAATCATCTTCATCATCCCCATCATCATCATCTTCATCATCATCTTTGCCATCATCTTCATCATCAGCATCTTCATCTTCCCCCTGCTCCATCACTTCCTCGCCTTCCTCTGCCTCTTCCTCTTCTTCTCCATCATCTTCTCCCTCTTCTTCTCCCTCCTCCTCCCTGTGCTGAGCCTCAGGAGAAGCCGCTGACATCACAGATCCTGTAACCTCAGACTGAGGCACGTCAGATTCCTCAGTCTCTGCAGGTAACTTTGCTACTCCTGGCTTACTACCGACGCTCTGTTTTGATGACTCTACATCCGACACAGACTGTCCTGCTTGTGTTGCTTGTGAGGTTACCGTCTTCACGGTTCCTTCCGACATTTTGGATTCAGATTTAGTTCTGTCTACCGTTTCCTTATCAGTTGTGGCTGATCTTTGGTCCGTGGTTTCTGAGAGGGTGGTGTCCTCGTGGTGAATGACAAGCATCTGAACATCGTCCTCTAATGTTGGTACCCCAGCAGCTGGTTCAACCACCTCGTGGTACGTCTGTACTTGTGTCCAGTGGGTCTCCCCACTCTCCCCCTCCTCTGGAGTGGACTGTTCTGGCACTGCACGGTGTCCTTCAGGACTCAGACCTGCACTGGCCCTGCCGTGCAGTAGGGCTCGGATTTCAGCATCTGCAACGCTCCAGGGTGTATCGTTACGGTCCAAGCCATCCTCACTTACAACAATAGTGGGGTGGGCTGAGCTTCGACTCTTACTGGAACGACTGGGGACAGCTCGTTCCTGAGGTGTGGATAGAAAATATAGAAATAAGAGAAAGAACATTGGTTCACTCACTTAAACACTAAGCATGAGCGTCATTTTCTGTATCCTATGGTCCAAAGTAAATAACTTGTTTACATGTATAATCTTTGAAAACGAACTTGAAGGTAAGATTCGTAATTGACAAAAGTTTGCAAACTGGAGGGTTCTGCTGGCTATACAAGTTCAAATGATATATCAGAACAACGACATTATGCAATGTCCTTGCTCAGGAGCACACTGAGAAAACTTGTCCTGTACCTGTTTCACCGGAGGTTCTGAGGAGGACAACAGACGGTCTTTGTTCTCAGTCCTGTCATCCCGCTGTTCCTTCTTTGTAATCTTGGCAGCGATGTTCCCTCTAGTGCACAGTCTCCCCACTTCATTCTTAATTGCCTGCAGTGTCTCCAGGTCTCCAGTGGGAGTGAGCCCAAGAGATTGAAGAGCCTCCACTACTTCACTGTGGAGAGATCAAATTACTAATATTTCAGCAGTGTTCATACAAAATACATCAAATATAGCTATATGACACCATGTGTTCAGATTTTCTTACTTTACAATAAATACTGAATATCAAAGTTCTTTATCCCCAACCACTTGTTTACAAATGCTCTTGTATAGATTTATAAAAAATACTTTTTTGAAAGGTTAAACATCTGTCCTGGAAAGTAATCAACATAAAGAACACATCAGAATTGTGAAGAAAATTCACAATAGAGTTGTCCTACTACTAGTTTTGGAGAAGTGATAAGGTGGAAATATTGTCCATTGTCCTCCTACCTTCGTACGATGTCATCAGGCTCCACGATGGTCCTGTCCTGCAGGACAGCGATGACATCGTCGTCATGGAGACCCAGCTGGGTGATGGCGCGGCACGCCTGCGCCCGTACGCCCGGCGTGTCATCATACTTCAGCGCCCAGAGAAGCTTCTCCACGATCTCCTCCGTCATCATCCCGATCTGACCCAGGGCTGTGGGGAGGCAGGAGGGGGTGACAGCTGTTATTGTAAGTGCTGGTGTTGGTCTATAAAACTTAAAACAGACACTGATGTCATAGAGACTTTTGCAAGTTTTGACAGTATACCTGAGTGAGTGTTGGATGTTACCATGGTGAAAGTAAGTCATATTTGTGCCGAATATCTATAATAGTATGTAACTTTCCAGATATATTTGCGGGGCCGCATTGCTTGCAACTGGTATGAAAAAAAGACATCTACGACCCCCCCCCATCCTTCTGAATGGGACAGCCCTCATAGATTCATATACACAAGATAATAAACCAGTTCTGTCTACTGACCATGGATAGCATGAGCCTTGACCTTCCAGCAGGGGTCAAACTGCGCCATCTCCAAGAGCGTGTTGAGTGCTGCGTCGTCCGTGATCTTGAGGTGCCCTGCGGTGTTGCAGACTTCGATGCGGACAGAGATATATGGGTCCTGGAAACACTCCATGAAGGGAGGGAGCAGCCGAGCGGTCATGATGCCTGGGTGGAGATAAAGTGGTGTTATTTTATAGATACATGCGTACTTAAGCCTGATCTCTGCAACAGCTCATGGGACAAGGAAACAAGGTTGCTGAAGTGGAGAGGGTTGGGACAGGGTTGACTGACTGGATAATTTAAGCAGGTATGTATGTATGGTATATAAGAGAGCACATTTTCTATTCATTTGAACAAGTTATGTTGTATCCTTTTGTCTAGTGAACTAATTTGCTACAAGTCAAGGAAAAAGATAGTCTAAGTAGATTTCTGTAGTGTCTGTGAGTAGATGAAATTTACAAACCGAGGTGGCCGATCTTGTTCAGTGCGTCGATTTTCTCTCGTTCGTTGCCGTTGGTCAGGCGGAAGTGCAGGTCATTGTGGACCTCCTTCCCGTGCCCGGTGCGTCCCAGAGTCTGCGCGGCGGCCTTCCGCACCTCGCTGCTCCAGTCATGCCACATCAGTGTGGACAGCTTGTGCATCAGGTCCTGGGGGAGGGGGGCAGGGTTATCGTTGTTACCATGGCAACAAGAGCATCCATCTTCATTGCTAAGCACATCAAGAACTGTGTTTCAGTTGGAGACTGATTGTTTGAGGAATGTTTGGATAGAAAAATCAGTTTTGTGCTGTTACCTTGTTGATGGGTCCATACAGCTTGGGGATGACCTTACAGGACAGCACGCGTCTGGTCCAGCTGCTGCTGTTCAGCTGTTCAGCCAGCATGGAGTGGACCAGCGTCTGGAAGGGAACAGCAATACATTTAATGTCTGTCTGAAGACTTGGTGGAACAATGTGCTGTTACAATTTTACATTCAGGCCACAACAATTCAATTTCTTGGTTCTCAATTTTGTCCTAATTCTTGAGCCTGTGTTTTGCAGTGTTTTGGTCTGGAATGTCTTTGTATCAAGGGACACCTGGTTATGGACCTGAGTGTGATCTACTGGTAAATATCTAAAATGAATTTATGAATGAATGAATGGATGTATGAATAAATGAATGAACAAAGAAACATCACTAAATGGCCTGCCGAACAAACAAACAAACAATAATATTAACAAGAACTCTGGAGGTATTTTTGTACCGTGTTCTGACTCATCTTGCTGAGCATGATGATAGCCTGGTCTCGCCGCATGTCACTGTTGGTGTTGAAGAGCTGAAACACAATCTCGCTGACGATGTGCGGCTCCACCTCCCCCGCCGTGGCCAGGCACTGTGCCGCCAGCCAGCGCTGCGCCGGCCCTCCCTCCTGCAGCATACTGAACATCATGGCTCTCGCCTGTCAGGGAAGAACACACAGGGTTAAAACTACAGCCATAGCCAACCATGGGCTCCTAAACTTCTCCAGACCATGGTTGGAATTTGTTGGTCGGCAGATTTTTAAGTTAAACATATAGCCAATTGTTAGTTTTGCATGAGCCTTTACATTTTATTAATTCAATCTAATAACAGGTGCATACAGTTTTTGTGATTTTCATTGAGTGCTAAAATGTAAAAACGTCAGTGTGTATTTTTTTGTTGTTGTTTACATCACCTTGTCGTTGTGTCTGTCCATGGTGTAGAAGCAGATGGCAGATGCCATGCGCACTTTGAGCACAGGGTCCTCCAGCAGTCGCTCCACCCCCTCCACCAGCCTGCTGGGCAGGACGCCCTGTTTGGGGCCAGTCTCCGCCTTCATCACAACCATGCCCGAGTCGTTGGACATACTGGAAGGAAAAGGTTAGAGAAGTCTGAACACACTTCTTTGGTTTCACTTCGATCCTATTTTAACACACACACACACGAAATGGCTGGTGAGCTACACAATTTGAAACTTTCCCAACAAAACAACAAAGAAAAATGGCCAATGAAAATAATACCACTTCTTTTGACTTAACCCTGTCCCTACCTTAAAAAAAATGACTGCTACACATTTACTGGTAACACTTTTCCAACAAGCAAACAAACAAAAAACAAGACATGGCCAATCAAAACAAAATAGAGCAACCTTTCCCCTATTTTACAAAAAAATAAGCACATCATCTATTCAATTTTACAATTTCCCAACAAACAAACAAAGAAACAAAAAACAACAATGACCACTCAAAACAAACATCAAAGTATCCCTACTCGTCCTCAGGTAGAGCGCGATGAGCGGCGGCCCGGCAGCAGACCGTCACCGCGATGAGGCGCGTGATCTCGTGCACGTCCTCCATGGACTCCAGCAGGCTGTCAATAGTGCAGTCCTGCCACTGGTTCTTCAGGTAGAACTTGTCTCGCCACTCCTCAACTGCAACATTTGTTTATGGTTATCTATTTATTTGTTTATCTGTTTATTAAAATTCACCTTACATGTGGAAGGAGTCAGAGAACAGGTGTGACTCAATGTACTGGCTCTCATGACAGCATGGTGTACAATAATTGCAAGTTAAAAAGAAAACCAGGATATCAAGTAAGACAAACACTGACAGCATGATAAACACAGAAACATAGTACATACAACATGATTGAACATATTGCACTACATGTATTAGAGTCCTAAGCTGTTTAAAACCATTTATTGTTTATTTCTACTATAAACAAGATTTGAACTATGAAAAAAACATGATACAACTGTGCAAGGGAGGCCAGAAACTTGACCTGCTTTTCTTCTTCAGTTTATTTCTCCATTGATATAACGTTACCAATTTGTGGAGGTCATAATAAAGATTAGGAAGCTCAACATTTCAGAGGGGCAAAATGCTGAAAGAAAAACAATAAGTACACCCCAAAAGAACAATGATCCAGGAACAACTCAAACACTAATAAACCACTCAACTTCTCAAAAATTCCAGGCATTCCGGAACAGAATGAAATCAAAGTTGATTATCAATATCAGGCAAATTGATAATAAAGAAGCAGGTGCCATCCAAAATGTCTGTCAGTAAATGTTTTTGACAACACCTTTTCCTTGCTGAACCTTACGGTTATAATGTAACGAAACTTGCTTCACAGGATGCTTTCGAGGACCAAAGGGCAGAAGAGGGGGCAGGTTCAGCACATCTGACAAGATTACAGGTAACTTTTAGCAAAAAAAGGGAAAGTGATCTCAAACCAGGTCACTGAAGAGCTTATCTTCCACTGGTCATGACAGAAAAGACAGACAATATGTACAGTATTTACAGGTTCATCATACCAGGGAAATTCCCCTAGCTCTTTTCGACAAGTACAATGCGAACAGTGGACCACGGCTAGGTTACGTGCCTGTCTATCCATCCTTTACCCAATATCATCCTTGTCCATCCTCCTCTAGACAGCAATGTGGCAGAAGAGACAGAAAAGAGCATGTAATGGATGAGTTACAGCATTAGAAAAGGAAGACTTAAAAATTTACTTAAAACAGATTTCCAGAAGGCTCACAATTGAATGATGGAACGATAGAAACATCTCGAGCCTACCACCCAAGCATGCTGCTACATGTACTTAGAAAGAAGACAGGGCTCATTCATTTTTAGGAATAAGTGCATTGGTGCTACTTGCATACTAGCACACAATGGTACTTAAAACTTTACTTCAATTATACACAAATGCATGTACATGTATCTAGTGCACAACAGTCAAAGATTATGATAACAGGTGCACAGCTCCAATTTGGGGTGCACCAGAATTCATATTATGTACCAGTATATAAGAAACTAAAGATTAAACTGTCGGTTGTTAGTTGTTACCTATTCTCAACAGCGGGTCAGCATCCCGTTCCTCTCGAGCCTTCTGTTTGCCATCGTCTCGCTTCTTTGGTGACGTGTCCTCAGGCTTGGGTGGAACAACGCCCCCTTCTGATGCAAACTGGAACAACAAGGTGTTCATCAGTCAGTAGGAGGAAACATCAACTGTTGTAGCCTACTTGTTGACTTGAAGTGTTTGAACCAGCCTTTCAGACTATTGCTTCAAATCAAAGGGAAGAAGGTAAATGTAGATACCACATCCCTTACTCTTCTAACTTTACTACCGGTACATCAAGATTGCACAGTACATTGTTTCTAAGATATTAGGAGACACATCAGACTCACATCAGCAGGCTCGGGCAGTTTGGTCCAGCGCTGCAGACCCCTGATGATCTTGGTGGGTTTCCTGGCTTGTTCCCTCTCCTCCTCTGATAGCCACATGAGCGGGTCTGGTGGGTACTGAGTCTGTAGTTCAGTCTTGTACTCTGCATGACTGTCCATGAATATCCTGTGTTTGTCTCCAGTCTTCTGGTACACTTGGCTGGCCATACCTACAATAGGGAAGAAGAACCACAAATTAGAGTCTGTATGTTACAGAATTTAGACTTGAGATATATGTAGCATTAGCCATGTTCATCAATTAGTGAAACAACACTTTTTTACGCTAAGTAACCTGTACTTTCGGAAACAATGCCTTCAAATATGCACCTGTATTCATTACAAGAAAAAGTCAAGTTGGAGACTGCAGTTGTAACAAAAATCAAGGAACACATTTTACCATATACTGTTATTAAAAACTCTAAACCTACCTGAGAGCAGTTCCCTCTCAAACTGGTTGGTGGTTCTGTAGATGAAGACCTCCAGGGCAGGGTTCAGCAGCTCCTCCAGGGTGGGAGGGGGCGGCGGCTTTAGGGGCTTCACCTGAACCACTTCAGCTGTGTTGTTAGTGGCACCTGAAGTCATGAATAATAATAAATCTAGTCATCCAATCTTCTCTTGATACATGGCTAGATTAACATGGGTCTGTTACAGTGATATAAACTATGTAATGTACAATGATCTAGTCAGGTGTAAAACCACATCGAACCTTACCTGGTTCTCTGTACTCCACTTTCTTGGAATGTCTCCCAGGAAGCTGGTAATATGTGCCCAGAGTCTGGGTGGGGTCCTCATAGGGTACAACAGACTTGGACTCGGGTGGTGTGGGCACTGTGGATCATAGTATACATGTACATGTCAGACACTTGGTGTGGATGAAAATTGTATTCAACATTAAAGTCTTTCAAATATACAACAAACTGTAACAAATAGGCATTGGAGACAACTGCTTGTCATTGTTGCTAAGGCTTAAACTTTATAGATGGTCTGAATCTGAAAGAAAGGAGCACAAATAATTGTGGGACTGGTTTTGTAACATGTTGGCATCAAATGTTTTAGCTCACTTACCCTTTCCTTTGGACGTTTCTTGTATTGTTACTTTCTTTTTGGAGCGATCTTGTTTCAAACTCAGTGATGTTTCCTCCTTGTACACAAACTCTGGCCTCTTCCCGTATCTCTGCTCCAGAAACCTGTCCAGTCGTTCCTTCTGTTCCCCCGCGGGAACTCTCTCCCGTACGATCCACCGCGCCGTGCCACGACTCAGCTTGGTCATGACGTACTCATCCCAGTCGTGTGGTGCCTTCATCCTTACAACAGGAATCGGTGCCTCCACTTCCACATCAGTCTCTACTTTATCTTTCCCCTTTTTCTGCCCTTTTCCCTCCTTGACTTCTGTAAGGAAAGTTCCTGTCTGAGGCTCAGTCATTTCTTCATCTTGTGCCTCCTGCCTTTGTTGTTCCTTCTTGCCCAGAGGCCTTAACCTGTAAGGATGTCTCCTCTGCAGGTGACAGGGCAGGTGTTTCGTGTCCAGACCCCTGCGGTCGTGTCGCCCATCCACCATCTTGGGCCTGGCTGTTTTCACCTTGATGATGTTACGGTAGTCCAAGGCTTGTTTTAGTCTGTCCAAGCTGTACGGAAGTGTGTGCACGGCACGCGATTCTACTACATCCTGCGTGAAAGTCAAATCGCAGCTGATCTTCTTCAGGTAGGCCGTAGGGACGTGGGTTTTCTCTCGTGTGAGATAGGTGACGGGAACAAAGGGGCTGCTCGGTGCGACTGAAGCGTGGTCGCCGACCTGTGGTATTTTGATTCCCGACCCGACAGGAAACAAGGGTCGGTCCACAGACCCAGGGCCGTGGTAGCTGGAGGGAGGGGGGTGGTAGCTGGTGGGACGGTCGATGGAGTTGCGGTGCTGACTGGTAGACATTGTGGCAGTGTTCTCAGCAACTAAACTTTGGTCCTGTCAAGTAAGGAAATGGCCTTTATCAAGTCTTGAGCTGGGGGGGATGGTAATCGAACATTTTAGTGTACCTATAAATTAGGTCCCCTTTTTTGTTGGTAGTGATACAAGTTATATCACTAACGTTACCAACAAAAAAGGGCCCTAATCTATAGGTACACTAAAATGTTCGATTAATACTTCTAGTATCTGTATAGTAGTAGAGTAGAGTAGAGTAGAGTAGAGTTCATTCATGCCGGGTAGGAGTCCTGCTCCAATTATTTGGGCCGCTCTTCAGTATATTCAGTTCAGAACATAGGCATAGATTTACGTGCAATCCCAGGTCTTTACAACGCCTTTCTACAACTTGCATGATGTGTATGATCATGATGCAGCTTTGAAGCATTTACTGCAGATGCTTAGTTATAGTTTATGCAGCTAGACATAGAGTACACATCGGAAAATCCCTACTAAAATCTACGCTATTTCTGCGGTTTTATAATATTTTGAGCAAAATGTAATCAATCAACACTTACTATGAAATATCCAGAACCACGTCTACATCACGGCTTGGTTTGAATTTTCCATCATACCTTGAAAATTACCACATCAAACTTTTCGAGGCTACAAACTTTCCTATCTGGGCGCCATCTTTGTTTACCGGTGTTTCTACGACAACTGTGAACGAGAGTGGCACTCTCGTACCCAGGACTATTGTTACAGCATCCTGTTAAAAGCGACCTCTATCAAATTAAACTCAAACTGCATTACGCCAGGTGGTTACGTTTCAAATACACGAACTTTTTTCTGGGCATGCAGTGTATTTTCACAGACAATAATGTTTTGGCAGTAAAGGAATATTTCAGTCAGATTCGAAAGAAAATTTCGGCTCGTTAAATCCCATCTAAAGGCCCAGGGAAATTGCTCGAGAAATCACCAGTATCAAAGTTTCCGCAAGGCAATTAGGATCGATCTGGTAACATACGTCGTACGATCGCCTTACGATCGCCAGGCACTCTTGGGAAAGTCTTTATCGTTCAAATTTGTCTTATATAGATCCTTGTCGGCGGCGGTTGAAAAGTTTGTCACAGCCTGCCACGGCATCAAAACTAACAATGACCTTGGATGGCCTAAGAAGAATGTGGCCGCGCGCCGCAAAGAAGGAACAGTTATTGTAATGCCAGGCAACTTTTTTATAAAAATCTACACTCCTCCTATCACTTGATCTCTTACACCCACAAGGACAAAACTGACGTCGGCCTGTCTTTGGAAGCCCCCGTATTTGGACGTATTTGATCTTGATAAATCTCCGCCCAAAAGCGCTCATTGCGATCCCTGTACGGGAGGAGCGAAGGAGGGATTGTAGCGGGGAACGTGGGTAAGCTGTCAGAAGGTGGTCCCTGCAAGCTAAAATTTCATATTATATCCTCAAGCGAGGAACATTGCAAAGGCTGATTACCTGAGGTGTAAGGGTTATTTCGAAACGGAAAACAAACAAAAATGCAATAGAATTCTGATGCACACACACACACGCACCGAAAACAACACTAGAGACACACACGCGTCGCATTTATTCTGGACGGTCCCCAAAAATTTAGCCATTCGAAAAGCTGCATGTGAGGTCATTTTGGAATTAGGAAAGAAGCGTAACGTGCGCAAATCTATGAAAATCTAATATATACCTCCTGGCACGCTTGTAAATGCCATCTCTGTTTAAGTCACAACAGAACCGTTAAGAACCAAATCAGCCCATACGCACCACCTAAAGAGCTGTTTGGGCCTTAACGACATATCTGATGGTAGGTGACTGCCTGGATGTGGCTCAGAACTCTCAGGCAAGCTATCTGTCTCACACCTGTGGCGCCACAGTAAGGCATCTATCTGACGGCAGTCACCAGTATATAACGGTGGCGCTTATCGACAAAAACACAGCCTCCGTCCCCACATTTTATTTTACTATGATATATATGGTCGGCATGACCACTTATTGCTTTCTCGCGGTAAATCCCGTGGCTTTACCAGCGCTGACGTGGCAGTGGGGAAGCTAACACAACCCGCAGGGCAATAACTCCTGCCGTACACTGTGATTACCCACATGCATCATGGGGGGAAATCTGGGCGGGCAGTGCGTTCAGCAGGGCTGTTCCATTGGACATGGGAAATACTAGAAAGAAGTGGGGTTGAGAGATTGAGATGCAGACCACGTATATTATAGCAACCCACCAATTGACAGTAGGGGTATAGATAGCGCTAAACCAAGGCTCAAAGAAACAACGCTCGCAGTTAGATGTGCAAAGGTTAGACGTGACAGCTCGTTCGGTGTAATATAGCCAGCTGCCACCGCGTCGCGTGCCTGTGAAGCTGGCGTGTTATGCCGAATATCGGTTATCATCTGGCTGTACACCATGATACAGATTCTCGTAGCTTCTACTTTTACATGCTTGAATCCGGTTGTGTACGACATTTCGTTTTGAACCGAGCAATAAAAAATATACATTCACCCCATCCATCTTGGTCCGTCCCTTGATTCAAACTCAATTACCTTATATACTACGCTATTTAGGCCACTTACCCTTAATCACAAGTACGTGCATCAATGGCTTATCCAATCATACTTCGACAGAATTCCTGTGCAGTCGCCAAAATCACATTTAGTAAGTCGGTTAATTAAATGTAGCAACAAGCAAACATGTAGCGCGATATTCGTCCCCACATGGCTGGTTGAAAACAGAATTACCGATGGATATAACGAGGTTATCTGTGTTGTTTGTATAATATATTGACCCGAAAAATCCTGCATGTAGTCGCCTGGTAGCCCGGATACCAACCGTTTTAGTTTCAGTGCGCTCTCACTGTAGCTTCCCCGTCAGGACAAACTCGTTCCTAAGAAAAGTCGACTTCACAGACTAACAGACATAAGTACTGAGGGACGATCCCTTACCCATCCAAGCCACATTGCAAAGATTTCATGACGATTTATTTGTCTTTCCATTCTTGTGACGTCAGAGCAATCCGGTTGACAGAGCCAGGTACGGTCCCACCTACACAGTTTATATCCATTAACTACCGATAGAGGGGTTCTCCCTGCCCACTAGTACTAAACACCAAACAAAAGTTCACCTATTTTAATGGCTATTTTGAAACTCTTTTGTCAACATGTCAGAACGTACAGCTCAAAATACCAGTAACCTGGGTCACTCACACTTACTAGGTTAAACAATCGAATTTGTAGGTCTGGTTGATGACCGGCCCTGTAATGTTAAAGGGGACAGTTCAGGGAATTTCTTAGTTGGTGCACCTCTTCAAATATCCGAAATTCTTTACACTATCAATTTGCTGTGTACGCAACCGTGTTTTTTAATCATTGTACTTGAAACGCTCCTCTGGTAAAACACCGCTTGCGTACGTGATTTGAAGTCTATCCTCCGTTTTCCTGAATAGAGCAGGGGGATCACGGGGGATTTTCTCTCAGAGCAGCCGTCCCAACAACACGACAAGGAGGTTGACCTTTCGGAGAGAAGCCCTGAGTGAGCCCAAAGCACCGTCTTTAATCCTACGCAAACGTGAAAGGTCCGCGCTCTATAGGAAAGCCCATTGGCATGACGTCACGGAACGCGCGCATATGGAGTCACTGCCCAATGTTGTACTTTTGTCTGTTCTTGGAACGGTTTTAAGGATAAGCGCTGCAAACAGTTGTAGGATACGTTGTCTAGTGACGGTAAACCCAAGCAGAAAATCATCAAGACCCCAAGTTTTAGTGCAGTTTCGACATTTTCTCGGATTTCACACCATTGCTCTGGAAAGTACACGAAGGCTTGTGGAAGGAGAGTGTGGACCGTCACTCAGTATGAAGGGCAAGGTTAGGGAGTTTCTTCTCTCATATAGATAAATAGTCGTTTAGTAAGAACGTGTACCAATGGCACAATCAATAGAATTCTAATGCGTTAATTGACGGAGGTGTGCAAAATATGAAAATGCAATCAAGAAGAGAGAAAAAAGAAATTGTCAATGTTTCCTAGAAGAAAGATGACTGAAGAAAATATGTGTTCCTTTCCTCCCCTCTCTTTCAATGTAGAAATGTATACTATACGCCATTTGGGGCTGCTGTGTGTAGGTGGAGATAATGATATCAATATCCCTTAACTATATATTTTATCTTATCCACCGCGTGATGATTTGGGTTTTTAGAATTGTTCTTACGACGATGTATTTGTCATTTCATTCTTGTGACGTCAGAGCAATCCAGTTGATACAACCAACACTCGAGCGTTTTAAGCGGCCGCAAATACTTGTAATGAGTAAAGTGATCCACGCATGGCAATGACATATTTAGGGCGTCGCTCCACGTGTGAGCTTCATAATCAATAACCATCAACATGTGGCACAGCAAGAACAGGGCTGGTCATCAGACAACAGTTGGGAGACAATCCAATAATGTCAAGTCTCTTCTCCTATAGCTATTAATATCGATCAAAGAATCTGCCAATATTTTGCAATTTATGTAAAGTAAAGACGAAGACAAAGTGCATTTACTGTGATTTAATGTTATTTAATAGAGATAGAAATTTTCTTTTACGTCGAGTAGTAAGTAAATTCCTCACTTTGGATCCTTCACGAGAGAACTGAGAAATTTGTAATTACATTCCATTCCTTACATACCATAAATCAAGTCCATTGGTATCATAAGTAATCTTAATCCTCCTACATGTACACAATTTCCAAGAATTCCAGAAGCGGGAGGACGCCGAATGTATTAATGTATATTAGATGTCTTTATAGTATATGTGTATGGCTGTGTAAACGCGTGACCTGTGCTTACCCCAGTGGGTCATTAAAAATACAATAAATTAGAAATACAATAAAGCTGTTCTTTATTGTTTGCTACTGATAAACATACCTTTATGAACATAAACGCATTATTCTGTTCCTATGTTTTGTCAGCACTCGGGCCCTTCTTTAAGTGTTGAGCCAATAAATATGCACCAACACAGACACAGTTGCCGTTCCCCTTTGACCTCAAGCGTTGGCAACCCCCCGGAAACAACATGTATTTTTACAAGGCGGATATTTTGGCGAGCGTCCACCGACATGCCTGTCTTTAGAGATAAACATACGTCTACATTTTTGATCACCAATGACCGTGACCCTGTGATAGAACCCCACTCCCCACCCCCTGATCCAACAATGAACCACCCCCAGTACACCTCTCACTCTGCGCTGGATTGTTGTTAGAAGCCACACTCAGAAAAAGCTTGTCCTTGTTCTCATTATTCACGTCCTTCATGATTCAATCGACAGCGTGGCTCCTGTGATTAGATTTTGTGACCGGTGATGTAAAGGTTTTAATTTGTTCCTCTGGGTAACGTTGCTCCGTGTTTCTGAGGTAAACAATATCGGACTGGGAAGCCGCCCGGAATCAAATTAAGATTTTCTCACCCCCGGAACACGCGCAACCGTGCCTGGATGTTTCAGACTGAGGGCTGAACGGACGTGCTTTCTGCCTGAACCTGATCTGCCATGAAGCCAGGAGGCTTGTAGAGGTGAGCTACTCATAGTGGACTATTGTACGGTTGATTAGAGAGGCCTATGTGAGCAGTCTTCAGTCGTCGAGGGGGCATTCCGTTGTTGTGTTCGTGTTTGTTGGCGGGGCCCGTGTTCGCTACTGGGTGTTCGCGCCCAGCGGAGTCCACCTGACTCAACAGGTATACTCATACAGAATCACCGTCGGGGCAATTCACGAAAACTAACAATTAGTCGCGCTCACAAGTGGAGTAAAACGTGACGGAGACAATGCTGTTTACGGACGATATCGCTGGACGCCTTGCATGGGTAAACTGTGTGTGGTTGTGAGTCGAGTGCACCGCCAGACCAGGCCCAATCACGATGCATGTCTCAACCCTGCCTACAATCGATCACGGAGCAATATTTCGTGTTGCAGACCGCTGACAGGTAGTCGAAGCGTCTTCTTTGACAGAGACCATCTGTGTACGTCCGTCAAAACGGACCAGTTGTACAGTGAGCAGCGCTGGTAGGTCTCGCAGACGGACACACAGCGGCCATGGCGGCTGAGGAGGACGGGGGGATCAGTCGCGAGGCCGTGCTGAATTACCTGGACTCGCACCCGGAATTTGCCGGGGAGTATGTCGCGCGGGAGCGGGCTGCGCAGGGACGGGAGGGAGCTCCGGGCTCCGGCCTGGCCAACCACTGGCAGGCTCAACAGCTGCTGTCCCGCCGGAGGGGCTCCCGACACTTCGACCACCACCCGGAGACCGCCCCCGGCGTGTCCATCTTCTTCCCGCGGCGGCCCCTCTCTCCCGCGCGGCGGTACAACTTGAGGAAACGATCTCCCAGGAAACAGCCGTCGCGAGAGAAACTCTCCAAACTGAACGAGCTGGATCTGATGCTGGAACTGATCAGGGACATTGCCAATGAGCTGGACATGACCAACCTGTGCCACAAGATCCTGACCCATGTCGGGATCCTGACCAACGCCGACAGGTGCAGCCTGTTCCTGGTGAAGGGTAGCAGGTGAGACGGACACCAGATTTTCCCACAATTTTCACGTCTGTCTTTAAAGCGTCTATAGAATTCACAGTCGGTTGTCTGAAAGGGGTGGAGGTGAAAAGCTATTTATGGACAAACACTGTCCGATAACATTGAAGCTTTATTGACGCAACAAAAGTACAGTGACTTTCAAAAGGTTAGCTACAAACTACAAAATAGAATTACAAAACATGGAACAAATCATAGAATTCTACTTACCAACCAATAATGGCATCTATTATAGTCCATTACTATCAGGTGGGGCTAATCCTGGGTTTCATTACCTTTGCATTCTTGTATGTATAAACCTATTTTTGCATTGTGCGAGTTGTCACATGAGGGGGGGGGGGTGCATTTTGTAAACAGCTGCCACGGTCGGTTGAACCTCAACCTTTCTACATATTTCCATGTTTCGTGTATTCCGGACTGTGACGTTGTAAATTGACTGTAAACCCGTGGCCTGTGGACACAATAATTTATTCCTTCTACTTGAATGGAGGTGTTTTAGTTTTACAACAGGTCGTTTTCGTGATTTATGTTTTTAACTGCGTTTTTCTACTATGTACAAGAAATCAAGCTTAATTTGCTTGTGCCTCGGGAGGGCGGAGGCGCGCTGTCATGTTGCATTATTCACTTCTGTGCACCCGTGAAGAAACTTTTCTACAGCCGAATCTAAGACATGTTTGTGTAGCTGTAAGATGGATGAATCACTTAGAATCAACACATAGGGCACGATCAATATCCGTTACTAGGATGCCGTGTGCTCTGTTAGCCTTGAAATGATCGATGCGTCTGAAGCATCGAGTTCTATTTACATCCCTAATTTCCTGTCGTCCTGGTCTGCTGATTATGATAATAATGTAATAAAGACGACCTTTATTGGACATATATGCCCACTGGGGTTAGTACAAGTCACTAAAAGAGTCACGGTTTACAGATACTAGTACTATAGTAAGTAAATTCGGCTTCTTCTCGCTTTGGCGTGATGGTGAAAATGTAATAACAGATATACGTTTTTGACATATTATGATCAAAGGTTTGTCTAAACTCATTGGAAATATGAATTTGTCTGTATTACTTAGACGTATGAGGAAGGGAAACATAAATTCTATCAGTGTATAAAGTTCAACTTTATTTTCTCTCTGCTGTACAATTTACAAAATGGTGTCCATCTTTTATTCTATTTTACATTACAGTATCGACATATCTGTTGTTCCAGGGGAGTGCTGTCCTGTCTTCCGGTTTGAATGCGTAGTTTGTGGCATGCAGCTGATCCGCAGTTTTGTGATTACAGTATTGGTCTCTTAGTGATTACGTAAAATCACATCCTATCTCAGCCGTTATTACTGGTGAATGATTATGGCAGAAAAATTCATCGACAACGTTGACATTTATCCTCCTCTTGGTAAATACCACCCAAGGCACACGAGTGGAAGGCGCCTAGCCTATACTTTTGCGACATTTCCCTAGTCCTGCACAAGTAATGACTACCTACGTATATATAGCTATTTGCTCTCTAATAGTAATACAGGGAGTCACGTAAAACGAGAGCTCATCGGTATGCCGCGGCTAGCAGCGCGCGGTGGATCCAGGATAAATTGCGCGTGTGAACGGAAGCGGTTCCCCACCTTTAAGTGTACACTGTCGACCTGCGTAACCCGCGACCCCGGAGAACTCCAAATCTGTGCTGTCGGTGTTAACAGAGAAAACTCGTCTTTCACGGCCGTGTTCTATGTAACGTTAACTCGTCTTACTACTTAAAGAAGCACGGACTCTTTCAAAAATGTGCTCAGGGGACGTTTCTAATACAACTCTCCAAAATCCATCACAGTGGTAATGTACGTAGTTATAAATTGATTCTGACGCTGACTGGGTGTACAGGTAGTTGTTGAAACAACATCTAGCTGGCTGCAATCAGTCTTCATTTCGTTCCACTACACGTGTCTTCTTATATTCCCTGCAAACAGCCTTTATAAGTCCTGGAGTTTC